CCCCCAGCCCCCCCACCCCACCCCACCCCACCGCTGTGAGAGTTGGTGCCGTGGAATTGCTGGACAAATGGGGGCCCCTCCAGAGGTCCTGGGGTGCAGACGCCACTGCTGCTTTGCTCCCCCTGGACTGCCTCCACCCTGAGGCCTCTGCAGAGGCCTCCGCTCAGCCAGCAATGCCATAGTACTGACCCTCACAGTTGCAGGGACCTCCTGCTTCCCACACTGCTTCTCCACCACCACCATGCGTAAACTCATGTTGCTGGACAAATGGGGGCCCCTCCAGAGGTCCTGGGGTGCAGACGCCACTGCTGCTTTGCTCCCCCTGGACTGCCTCCACCCTGAGGCCTCTGCAGAGGCCTCCGCTCAGCCAGCAATGCCATAGTACTGACCCTCACAGTTGCAGGGACCTCCTGCTTCCCACACTGCTTCTCCACCACCACCATGCGTAAACTCATGCAGCAGCCCCTGCCCCTGCACCATGCTGCCCCTGTGGCTGCCTGCTTCCCACTGCCTGTTGCCCATGAACCCCCAACGAGCCTCTTGCTCCCACCCTCACACTTGGCTTGCTGCACTGTCACCCTGCACCTCCCGCTGTAGCTGCAGGGAAGGTAGAAGAGGGGGGAATAATGCTTTGTGCAGCAGCAGGAGGGAGGAAGAGGAGGGAGAAGCAAGTTAGTCCCTCCCCCCAAGCTCCAATACAAAGGAATGGGAGAGGACTGGGGGAGGGGGTTGGCAAGGCAGACCCAGGAGCAACAGCGTCATGCAGGAAAGGGAGGGAAGAAATGACTTGGATCACTCCAAATGGGAGTTCCCTCCCACCCCAAGCACCTAGACAAGGAGCTGGGCTGGCCCAGGCCAAAGCGCAGGGCCCCTGGGTGGGAGGGACAGACACGTTTGTGGCCCTGCCTACAGCAGGGGTGGGGGTGGCATTGGAGTCACTAGGAGAGAGCATTCCACCCCAGACCTGAAGTGGGGACCTGGCATTTTCCCAGTGCTGCCAAGAACCCTAAGCCCTTCACCTGCTGGCACAGAAGGGACTGTGTTGCCCCAGGGACAGGGCCATGAGGCTGTCCTGCTGTAGCTGTACAGGGGCATCAGCACCTGCATCCTCCTGGCTTGGAGAGACTGGCTGCAGGAGCTCCTGTGGCCTCCTAGCTGAAGCCAGGGACCCCTGAGATCATGGGTTGGTTTAGATCCTCGATCCATGAAGTCCAGGCTCCTGTCAGGCAGAAGGTCCGGCCAGGGTGTCTATCCACGACGTTCCTCTCCCACTTGCAGCCTCCAGCCTGGAGGGGCCAGGAAGCTCTGCTTGCCCTGCATGCCCAGGCTCAATATACAAGAGTAAGCCTTTATTCTGAGCTATTATGCAATTGTCTCTATATACACTACTCAAAAAACCATAAATCAGGACAAAAGCCATTTTTTAAAATAAAATTAAAATATTTTATAGTAGATGTTTGATTTTTAGTATGTGAGTTTTTATCTATAATTTGTTAAAATTATATCTTTTGGAAAATGTTATGTGTATGGACCTCCAATTGGTTCAGCGCCATTCTTGGGAAGGTCCAATGCCCCTGAAATCCCCACCAATTGGTTGAGGGCAATGGGACAGATTGTTAGAGGGGTCACAAGCCCTTACTACCTGAGAGGTTATGCCTATGCATTCTGGCCTAGGGGGCAGGCCATGGACCATGAAGGCAGGCCTTCCAGAGGAGCAGTTTTTCCCAGTCAAGGGGTGGACTTTTCTGATGTCAAGGACCATGTGATGGAGGCAGGTAATTTTGGGACCAACATAATGGCCAACAGGGCAGCCAACATGGTGGCAAAGGGAGTGGGGTTTGGAGTTGGGTGGGCTTATATCATGGATTGTGTGACGATGGGACTTCTGGTTCCAAGACTACAAACTCTCCTCCCAAAAGGGGAGGGGACTCTCCTCTCCTTCAGGGCAAGGGGACTTCTGGTCCCAAGATGGCAGCCAGGGAGCAGGACACCTGTCAAAGGGTGGGACTTAACAATTTGACAAGAAGTGTACCCTTGTGGCCCTTGAGAGCTGACCAAAATTCATTAAGTGGTCCTCAACCCAAAATAATTATCCCCCGCCCCCGAGATAGCATTTCACCTAGCAAATGGATGGGCTCAGAATCCCTGGGGTTATTCGCATGTGTAAAGTTCAGCATGTGCCTACATTTTTTTGTAAGCAATATGCTAGTTGGTATGGATCTAACCTGGGGACCTAATGTAGTTTTGTAGCTTTACGAGTGTTACTGGATAATGGCTAACAATTGCTCCTGAGAATGCAGGTGAACTACTTAGGCTAAGGGGAATATGGAGGTTATCTGCTCCATCTTACATAGCAAATAAACTGTCTTGCAAAATGCCACTTTGCAAATGAGGCTAAAAATATTTACAAAATAATTTCTATGGAGAAAGTTTTCATCTCCTGAAGTCTGTCTTTGTGCCTATGTGGTTTGTGTTAGTCAATGCATAAAATGAGCAGCATTTATTCACCAAGTGTGCAAAAGCAGCAGTTAAAGGTATGCTAAATATACACAAGGTCATATTTAAAGACATTAGAACATAGGAATCATTCTGTGGGATCTCTAGAATGGACTAGTACTAGCTATACCGGGGCCAGTACTAGGCGTTCTGAGGAAGGTGGAGAATATCCTGTAGTAGGCTTGCTAAGAAGAATTTTTCCAACTATTTGAGTTGGTCTAATAAAAGATTTACCCAAAGAACTTTGTCTGCCTATGTCTTTAGATCAACACGGCTACAACCTATACCCCTGTAGTAGGCAAGCACAGGTTCTCCTTTGTTAGGCCATGAGATCAGGGAAGGGAATGCTTTTCAGGGAAGGACAAAGTGGCTGGATGGATTTTAATGCTTGTGCTATGAGGTTCCCATCAGCTTATGGGGCCACGATCCTAGAGATTTACCATAAACCTGTCTGTAGATAAGGTGCTCTGCCCCATGCCATAGTTCTTAGTCATCCTTAAACACTGAAGCCTTAATTGAGGAAAACGCTAACACTGGTGTGCAGTCATGGTTGCCTTCACTGAGTAGTATTTTACTGAATAGCACGTGTGCAAGGTTTTCAGCTACACCAACATTGTAATAAAAACTTTTGCCATCTGATTTTGAGAACAGTTTAAAATAATTAGCCCTGGAAAAAAAACCAAAAAATTTCTCCACAGCTACATGCTTCTCTGGCAGTATCTCTTTACTCCTGCTTGTGTTAGACTTAGTCAAAACAATCAATGCAGGCATGCTGTTAAATAACAGGAATTACTGAAGTGGCCAAGCACGTTCAGCTCTCCTGGGACCTGTCCAGTATGC